TTATAATTTTAGATTTGATCATTCATTTTAAACACAACACACTTTATTTTTTATTATAAAAATATGTGTAATATATCAATTCTGAGCCACAACTTTTATTTTAATTTCCTTACTTTTAATGGTGACAGGTGTTTGAAGAAGCTGGTTATAATGTGCTTTAAGTCAAATGTGTTCACTTTTTTTCTGCTTCTACAGTCTGTTACAATTAAATCTAAAAAAAAACAAAAAACAATAGCACTCCACAACTCTCTACATTGGCAGAAGAAAAGCTTAATTCATACACGATTCTTCTAACTTTGTTCCATGACAAGAATTGGTGGAAAAATAAACATGTAAATGAAGAAAAACCAAACGGTTTGATAACTTTCACCTGTTTTTATCACTTTCTGGGAGCAGAAAAGAAGAAAACTCCTAATAATCTCAGTCAAGCCTATGCTGTAATTGGATTAAAATATGTGTTTTGGCTTAAATACTAAAAATCACACCAGGGAACAAAAACATGCTAAATTGATTATGCTGAACAGGCCTTTCTAATTCCAACACTATACTGTATCTAAATGTTTTGAAAGTTCAATGCAAGCATGTAAATTGGAGTAAATGTGTGTAAATGAATGTGTGCATATAAATGAATGTACAGTGAAATACAGACTAAATGTTGTTTGAAATGTTTTAAAAAAGGCACAAAAAATTTAGATTATTCTAAAAGACTAATCAATTGCTTGGGGATTTATGAGTAAACCCTCTAAAACATGAGATGGAAACAGGTTTGCTTGAAAAGTAATGACACAAATCTCTTTAAGCGCTATTGGTCATCAAATTATGTGCTTAGTACAGCAGGCCATAACTTCTCCTTTGAGCTCTTAATCACTTTATCGACTTCGCCTAGCAATCAAAACTACTTTCACCTTCTAATTACTAAGGCGTGTGTGCTGTACAATAATGTTTATTTAATTTGCAGCGTGACGTGCAGGGGTGTGTGCTTATGTTTAAAAAAAACCTGTGGGGAAAAAAAAATAAATAAATAAAAAATAAATAAAAAAATTAAAAAAACCTGTGGGAAAAAAAAAGCAAATTATCCATCTCAGAAGTTCATTTTCTTAGAAGTTCTTGTCTGTATGCTCTTTTTCAGCAAAAAGAAATGAGGTCTCAGACTAAAGCAAAAAGAGACAAAATAAAGGATAGACAGCATATGGAGACACATATGTACAGTATGCATGCGCACACATACACACGTTTTATGTTTCATCAAAGATGAGTTTGCTACGGGGAGCGAACAATCCTGGAGTTGGACAAACACAGTGAAATGACAATGAATGGAAGACGTCTTGGGTGAGAGGTTGTCTTTAAAAACGCAAAAAGTCCATTTCCAGTTGAAAAGAACATCGGCTGTGTGGCAGCGTCTGACTTGACAATTACATAAGCTGTGCAAACAGAGCTGCACCTCCACTGATAACCCGTTGAATTCTATTAAAACTTCAGCACTCCAAAGAACGCTCTTATGGAAGAAATTACCACACAGACTAACTACAGTATGTGTGTGATTTTAAACAGCAACACTTCTGACAATGTGCCTTTTGCAAGAAAATAAAGAATAGAAAACAACAAATGTTTAATAAAACAAAAGATGATAACAAAAAAAGTCTGAAACCAACGCAACCGCAGCCTTTTCTGTGTTGTTTTAGGCTGCTAATGGTCTGGGGTTAGCCTTAGAGCTGAAAGAAATGGCTTTAAAGTAGGAAAAGTTACCAAAAGTACTTTAGAATGATGTAGGCTTTAATAACCATAAGAATTTACTGTGATACACTGACTGCACACATTCATCCAAACCTGTACAAAGCATGTTACTTCTATATCCTTCCTTCTGTCTCCAGCTTCCATTGTCCCACTCTCCTACTCATATTAATTACTTACTTATTAATTACTTACTTAAGTTAATATGTTAATCATGAATTAACATATCTGATCTGCTGATCTGTTTCAAGTTACTGTGTTCATTCATACTCATCTGCTCACAGACTCATGTTCGTGCTGCTGTTCGGCGTATTGTTTTTATTGTTTTTTTTGCTATTAGTGCTTAGCATATTTTTAGTTAATGTTTTTCATAGTTCATATCTTAGATCTTATTACCGTTTTCCTTTTACATTTTATTGTTGGATGTAACTGGGACTCTGTGTACACAATTTCGTTCCACCACATGTAGCACATGCAGTGCGAATGACAAATAAACAAACTCTGACTCTGACTGTAGTACTCCCTACCACCTTGTGCTTGTGCATATAGTATTTTTTTATTTATTTGTGCATTCTGCTTCTTTTATGATTACTATTTCATATGTGTCTTTTTTTCTGTATAATCAGAACATGCTACTGGATGCCTCAAATTTCCCCCAATTTATTCATTCATGCATTCATTCGTGAAAGAAAAATAAATAAAAACAAAGAAAGAGAAAAAATAAAGAAAGAAAAAGAAGAGAAGGAGAGAAAGACAGACAGAAAGTAATTAAGTAATTAGTAAGTACGCAAGCACGTATGTTAGTAAGTATCGGTACTTACGCAAGTACGTACTTAAGTAAGTAGGTACCTAAGCAAGTACGTACCCAAGTATGCAAGTATGTATGTAGGTATATTTATTTATTATTAACCTTTATTTAAACAGGCAAATCCGATTGAAATCACAGTTCTCTTTTGCAAGGGAGGCCTGGACCTGAAGGCAGCATAGCATGCATGTTTTTAGTCTGTGGGAGGAAACCGGAGTACCTGGAGAAAACCCACACAAGCACAAGAAGAACATGCAAACTCCACACAGAAAAACACCAGGTCCAACCAGGGATTGAACAAAGGATCTTTTTGCTGTGAGGCAACAATGCTAACCACTGAGCCGTCGTGCTGTATATACGCGTATGTATGTACATATACGCGTATGTATGTACATATACGCGTATGTACGTACATATACGCGTATGTACGTATCTATCTACGTATCTATCTACGTATCTATCTATCTATCTACGTATCTATCTATCTATCTATCTATCTATCTATCTATCTATCTATCTATCTATCTATCTATCTATCTATCTATCTATCTATCTAATCTATCTGAAATTTGAACTGATGACTCATATTGTTTTCTCCACAGATGCTGAAGGGAAAAAACATCAAATTATGGACTTCCCCCCCTTACCAATGCTCTTCCATCTCCTTTTGTTTCAATCATAGTCCCGTTCCAAATGAGATATTCTTCATATACTTGTCCTATGGCTACAAATCACATCAACGCGTCGCTCTTACTCTCCCAACAAAATGATTAATTTTTCTATTACTGAAATAGGCATGTGAAATGAGCTATATAATCAATAGAGTAGGTTTGTAAACAGAGGCCACACTCCAGGGAAAATGTGTTTTAGTAAACAAACTGCCTGTGTGCGGTGGGAATGTTTATCTGAAAAGGTTTACTAGGGCAATATAGAGAAAATAAAGACAAAAGCTGAACAAAATGGCACTCTTCTTAACAGCAGGATGAGCAGAAAGCGATTTAGATGAACACAATACTGAACCACAGTAGGAATGATTGCTTACTGTATCTTATTGTGACTTCATGAAGTTTACTATGAAATATGAAAGTCCTCCGAGTTTGTTTTATGTGAAGCAGCTTTAAGGACTTCTGTTTGTGTGTCTTTTTTGGCAGTGAGTTGACAAAGTCGAAGCACTTCTGTGAATTACTGCTTACAGCAATTACTGCTTATAGCACAAACATCTGTCGCTGTGCCAACAATGTCCAGCAGAGAAGAGCCAAAAGGTATAATTCTGAGCAGGAGACTGTGAAATAAAACGTCCTCTTACAAATTGCCCCCGTCTGTGAATTTGTGCTTGGAAGGTCAAACAATTAAAATGCCTATTTGATAATGTGCCACAGATTTCTATTCATCCATCAGCTAAATATGCTTATCCTTTCGAGGATCACATGTGGCAGGAACCTGTTCCAGCTGACTTTGAGCAAGAGCCAGTCAATCACACAGCTGACACGCACAGAAACAACCATTCACACTCACATTCACGCCCGCCTAACTGACAATTAACCTAATCCATGTCTTTTGACAGTGAGAGGAGATTCAAGGCACCGAGGGGAAACCTCTGCAGGCGCATAGTGAATATCCAAATATCTGCTGCCTGCTATTTTAAACCACCTCACAGCCCATGGTGCAGAATTATTCAACATATATTTCATAATAGATTTAGATGTCTGATATTCCCTTAACAAAATGAACACTAAATGCACACTCATGCATGCAGATAAAGGCAGACAATCAGAAAAAAATAGAAAAAGAAAGGAACAACAGAAATGTTTATTGCACACCCAGCTACAATAGCTAAAGTCATGAGATTTTATAAATCTAAAAAAAAAAATGTTTCTCAGATTATAAAAATGTATCCATGGTAAAAGAAAAAGTGGAAAATGAACATGCACTTGAGTGTTAACTGAATGAATGAAAAATTATATAGTGAAAAACGTTAGGGTGCATTTAAGTTCAATATATTTTATATGATCAAATCATACAGAGAAAGCAGTATTTGTAAATGAGCAGTACCAGAAAATAAATGCAGTATTTGCAAATAGGCAATAATGACATGAACAACATAAAAATAAATGCCGCTTTTTAAACCCTAACTATGATCTGTTGAATATGTTTTACTCAAAACTGAAGTTAAACTACCTTAGTTATGTACCAAAAACTTGGATTATGGGGAAAAAAACTAAAGCAGCTGTTGAAAGCAGAAAGAATACCCACATTATGTTCTTTGAATTATTATTTTTTACAAAATCTAAATGCATTATTTTCAACTCGTTTCCTTTTTTTCTTAAATAAATCGATCAATGTGGACTCCAGTTTTAGTCATCATCACTTTCACTCTGCAGATCAATTTTCCATATGAAATTCATCAGTTTTGTGAAATTTATTCAGAAAAAGAATCCAAAAGGTTTTTTGTGAAAACACTTACAAGTAGCTGAGCTCGGAGCCTCTCATCCTCAATGGTGATCCTTTCTCTTAAAATGGCCTGCTGGAGGCTCTCTTGGGTCAAGGCTCTCTCTGCAGACAACATCCTGGACACTTCAGCCTGGACTTGTGATTGGGTTTCAGCCTGAGCTTGTGCTGATGCTCGAGCCTTCTCTGCATGAAACCTGTATTCAATCAAAAACAAATATTTGAACATTTTCACCTCTAAATGGTTGCTAGAACTTTAAAAAACACACTCAAATGCTGAACAACCTCTAGAATAAACTAACTCTGTGTAATATCAAAACACTGTAAGCTACATAATTGACACTCAAAGAAACATGAAGAAAATTTGACAAGTGATCTACAATAAAAATGCACAGGCACTACACATACATATTAGACCAGAGGTGCCTAAAAGTTGGCCTGCCAAGCCGTTTGAGTTGGCCCGCCAGGAGCTGTCCACATTACTACAGTGTTTCCCTTACATTATAGAAGCAGGGCGCCTCGCCCTGTCAACAGAACCGAGCACCCTGCCCATCAACAACTGCCAGCACTGACATAGCGCTAAGCTAACAGCATGCAATACCGTACATACGTGCTGGCTCAAAAACTATGACTAAGGTGGTAGCGCTCTGTCTACCCGCAACCCTCATATTTTTTTAATTTATTAAATAACCCATGAGCCTTTGCCGCCAAAGCAGACTGACTCGCTCGTCTAAAAGAAAAAAGGTTTGCAGGTCACCACACTGATAGCTCGAACAAGCTCTGAGTGAGTCAGCTTCAGTCTGATAGTGAGACTAATTTGAGCCAAACACCAGCTTTATGTTGCTCACTAATGCCATATTATTGTTGCTGTTAAGTTGTGTTGATGTTGGACATGCACTTTTTTACATTTTACACTACATATAATTATAATTAAAGCCAGAAATTTAGATATTTGTTTTAATTTCCTATATATGTCTCACCGGTAGTTATATTTTGTGTTCTGTAATGTTCTTTAGACAGAAAGGAAAGTTAAATAACTGTATAAAAAAAAAAAGGACTTTACTTAAAGAAGTATTTGCATTTTGTGCATTATATTATTGCATTTGGCCTGCAGCCGTCTCATAGATTTTCATTTTGGCCTTCCCAGGGAAAAAGTTTGGGCACCCCTGCACTACATAAAAAAAGTCACACAACCTAAAAAGGAAAGCACCTAAAATGGTTCCTTCTGGCATTCTCATTTCAACTTTGTGAGGAAATCTTGACATCATTAATCACAAGTCATTGTTCGCGCTTCTTTATGTATGAATAAACCTTCACTTCACATTCAAAACAGTCCTTGCGGTTCAATGAGACTAACCTGTATAAATAAAGGTTGAATGAATAACAATTTTAACAATGTGATGGTAAGAGTATTATTGCTTTAAATGAGAATAAAATAAAATAATAATGTCATCTATAGGACAGCAAACAAGACCCTATAACATTATATAAGTAATGCCACAAAATCAATAGTTGTGGTTTCTTAACTCTGTATCATTTCAGCATCAACATTGTGGTGAGACTGTAAAACAGCTTAAGTGATGAGTCAGCACCTGTTTATGGCAGTATATTCAGTCTAGCTGCAATGTTTAAACACAACTGGAGATGGTAGAAGGAGGTCTGTCTGACACCTGAGTATAAGTCAAATTGGGAATCCTCGCAACATATTCTGCCTGGGCCACCTTCTTCCATCCTTTCTTTCAGCAAAAATAGCAGGGCAGCTGGGCCCACTCTCTCTCAACATGCCAGTTTTCTTTCTCTTGGTTACTGATGTGCATCTTTGCTCCCCACTCATTTTCTTGAACTCTAGGAAACATCTACAGTTTAAGCTGCGAGACCTTTTACCAGAACTCTACAGAGTGCTTTTTCCAGTGCTGTAGAGACACGATGGCTGGAAAAGGAAATTGCCTCACTTCTTACAAGAGGCAATAATGATAGTTCCACTGTCAGAGGCACAGAGGGGTTCTTCTCTGTTGATTGGCAAGTTGAAACTAAAGTTTAAAATGTACTATTTTTTTGTTTTGCATTTGTGTTAAAAGCAGGTGCTCTTCTATACAATGTCAACGGAGATATTCTGAAATAGCAGCTTTCTTTGAAATAGCTTTATTCGTGTAGTCTCATGAAACTTTCTGTCTTTTCAAATAGCATTAAGTGCTTTTCAATAAAAGACCAAATTTAGGAGAAATTGTAGCAAGTTGTAGCAAAAGTCCTGCCAGTATCTTCATACAATGATGTACATTTTGATGCAATTTGCTTCTCTTCACCTGTTCTTAGTATTGAATAAATACCAAAATAGGCCAGCACTGAAGAGTAATGCTCAATAATCCAGGTAAAAAAAAAAAAAAGTTCAGTCCAGTCATCTGGACGGTTTCTTTTTTTTGTTGAGACATTTCATCCTTCTTCCAAAGGACTTCATCAGTATGAGGAGTCACAACAAACTCAGTCCCACAAGCAGCACTGGCATAGTGGGCCAACCAGTTTGCTGGTGATAAGATGGTGTCTGGGGCCCACCTTCTCCCCTCGTCAACTGCTCTGAGGCAGCCATAGCCAAAGAGGTTCAAAACATCAAAGTTCATGATCAATAATCTTGAGTTCAAACCCAACAGGTCTCTCTTGTAAATGAGTCCTCGAGGTTCAACGGGATTAACCTGTATAAATAAAGGTTGAATGAAAAAAAGGATTGATGAAGTCCTTTGGATGAAGGATGAAACGTCTCAACTAGGCCTGTCGCGATAAACAATAAATCAATTAATTGCATTAGAAATGAAAATTATCAACCTCATTTTCATTTATCGGCTTTATTGTTTCTTCGTCTCTCTCTTTCTACTGAAGACACTGGATGACAAAAGGCTCAACTCTGGTGCTCTTCACTGACCCCTCCCTTTCTCTTTTTTTCTTTAAAATCTGTTTTAACCATCCAAAATTGCGTTTTTGGATCGTTAAAAGCAGCTAAACTGAGAAGCTAAGCTACAAGCTAAGCTAACAGACCCACCTCGAGAAAAAACCTCCGTCTTGTCAAAGCTCCAAAATTCACGGTTGAAACCCGTGCCTTCGTCTAAAAATTTGATTTTCTCTGCAAAAAGAAGCTGAGAACTTGTTTACCAATTTTTTTATTAAAAGCTTTGTGTGAAAAATGCTATGCTAAAGAGCTCAAACCACACAGAGCGTCCGCCATTTTGAGAACCAAAAAACAGGACACAGGAGCGAGACACGCTGCTCGCTCCTTCACTATCCATCCTTTGGTTCAAACTGTCTTATACTGCCATAGTGGTCAACAAAAGGTACTTCACACAAAATTAACCAACATTTCTTCTTAAATTTGACAATAATTACCGATTATTGTCAAATTTCAAACAATATCATTTATCGCAATAATTTCTGAGACAATTAATCGCCCAGGAAAATTTGTTATCGTGACAGACCTCAACAAAATAAGAAACCATCCAGATGACCTGAGTGAAATTTGTTGGGCTGAAGAGTAACGGTTTAAACACCTTTAATGCAAAACTTGTGTATGACAAAAAGGTACCGGTGAGAATAAAGTTGTTGCACAGTTTAAATAAAGTGCAAGTAATTACACAGAAGAGCCGTTCACCCATCAATAGAGATGATCAGTTCTGTGAAGCAATTGTTTAGACAGAGGCAGCACATTCTCCGCAGACGCAGGACCACCGTTTGAACCCCGTCACGCGGTTCTCATAGTTGCCTAGCAACACACTCCCTATTCGGCGACAGTGCGCTTGATTGAATAAGGCAAAACATCCCTGAAACCCCTAAAAGTGATCTTCTGTGAGAAATCAAACAGTCGTGGCAAGGTACAATAAACAGAGAACAGAGTGTGAGCACCTGAGTGAGTTATGACAGACGGAATGAAGACAGCGAGGATCTTCATAAACGTCTGCCGAAGAAAGATGCAGGGAGCTCATAAAAGATACAGCTGATGAGAAAGATGATGCCTGAGAGTAACTGGGAATGTTAAATGATTGCAATGTTGGAAAATTATATGATACAGTTTCTTCATTTGAATCTCAGCCATGTTCTTATATATAATGGTAACAGTGAAAACAACGCTGAACAATATTAGTGTTCTATAAACTGAACTTCTTCATCACAATGAATATATATAGCTTTATAAACACAAAATGTATAACTTTTTTACAGTTCACCCAGGTTTCATTACTGCTTATCATGATCATTTAAAAATACAATCTACGAACAAATAGTTATAAAAAAAAAATAATTTCTACATCTTGGCTCTGCTAGTCATGTATTACAAGCGCACAGTAATCTTTCAAATATATATTTTTTTATCTTTTATAGAAAAACTCATTTATGTCTTTAGTCACCTGAGAATATAGGCAATATATAAACAGTGACAACTGCTGATAGACAGGCCGGTAAAAGCAGCTCACCTATACACCTTTAGCTGAGACTAGATGACAGTTAGAAGTAATTGAAGTATGCCTGATGCCTTAAATCTGCCATGCTATGTTACTAAATGTCAGAAAGCAAGGAGAAAGAAGAGAAAAAAAGGAAAGAAAAAGAGTTAAAGTAAGTAGAAAGCGCGAGCAGTGGCGACACGACATGTTTGGCCCTGAGGAAGTGAAGCATAGAGTGGGAGAAAGAGATGGAGGGAGACAGAGAGAGACCAGCCATGTCCAGTCTCACAGTCCACTGGGCTGCGCACGTCAGCACACTCCATCCATCATCAGCCTCACGCACACACAGACGCACGGGGAGCCTCCTAATGGCCTTTTACATTCACCATTTCCCCCACAATCCACGCCTCCCTGCCTGTACGGCTAATGCATCTAAGCTACCTTTACTCAAAGAAGCCTGGACAGTTGCTACAACTATGACTGAAAAGCAACAATAAACAAGTTTTTTTCTTGACAAAAAGTATTGGATGGTACTTATGCAAGTCTGCAAAAGCAGCTAATTCAACCGTTTGACATGTCACTTTTTGATTTGAACTACTGGGAATATGTGTTTTTATATAGAAGACAGTTTGAACATACTGTGTTCAGAAATACTCTGAAAGTTTTGCAAAAACAGAAAAATTGCTGTTTTACTTTTAGTTTGGCGTTTTAAATCCAAAAGAACACAATTTTTAGGAAATTATTTTATTTTGCCACATTTAAAACAATTATTTTAAAAC